TATACGGGGTCGGTTGTACCCATACTATATTTCTGCACCTTGCGTGCAGATTCTGGAGATGAGTAGTTGTGGAAGACAGAGCTTTGCATTGAAGACGTACCAATGTTCCTGATTCGAGCTACCATTTGTTCATCATAGATTAGGACCTCATTTCTGTTTGTGTAACCTTCAAACATATATTGTATTTAATTCTTTACTAGCTTTGTAAAATCTAAGTCATAGTGACTCATGACTTGTACTACGAGTCATTGGAGTAGTTGCATTAAATTTGCTTAAAATCTTATTTATTATATTAATGATTTCTCATTGTCGAGTAACTTATATAATCTGGCTTACCTAGTGGATTAGGTTAGTAGCCATCACGACATTGATTGGTATTTTGGGTAGTGACATTGAATTTTTAAAAAGCAAGACCTACATATTACACATGTCAAATAGTAAAAGATGTAACACGTGATGTGTAACGACCAGACCGGCCATTTTATGTAATTATGTCCTGTTACCCCTTTTATGCTTTACCCATGTGTGTTTATGATTTATGACTTGTGGTGTTGGTTAGTTTTCTCCCGGAAAGCTTTCAGGTTGATTTGGACCTTTTGATTTTTGACTTAGAAGCTTAAAGTAGAAATATTGACCAAACTTTGACTTTTATGAAAACATCCTCTGAACGATATTTTGATGGCTCCGATAGCTTCGTATTGTGATTTCGGACTTGGGCGTATGTCCGGAATTAATTTCGGAAGTCCGTAGGTTGATTTGTGTTATTTTGCCGAAACTTGGAAATTTGTAGTGGAAAAGTTTGACTGTAGGTTGAATTTTAGCTATCGAATTCAGAATTTGATTTTGGAACTTGGAATAGACCCGTTGTGCTATTTAGAATTTGTCTACAAAATTTGGTGTCGTTTGGAGTTGATTTGATAGGACTTGGACGTATAGTTGTAATTCTAGAGATTCTTGAACTTCACTTTGAAATTCTTGCGTTTTAGTGTTCGATTCGTAGTTTTATATGTTATTTTTGTATTTTGATCACGTGAGCAAGTTCGTATGATATTTTTAGACTTGTGTGGATATTTGGTTTGGAGCACCGAGGGCTCAGATGAGTTTCAGACATGTTTTGAAATGATTTTGAATTGAAATGAACTGTTGGTGCTGCTGGTGCTCAGTTATCGCAATTGCGAGCACCAGCCTCGCAATTGCGAAGGTGATAGTGGGGGCTCAAATGTCGCAAAGTACGACTACCTTGTTACGACTTCACTCTAGTCACTAGCCCTGCCTTCGGCATTTTGCGACTTCCCCTTCGCATTTGCAAAGTCTGCCGGCTTTTGACTCAGTTCGCATTTGCGAACATTTGTTCTCTTTTGCGAGGTTCACAACTTCGCAATTGTGAAGCCTCTTGTCACAATTGCGATAATGGAGGAGGTTGTCAAGGTTCGTAAATGCGAGCCCTGGTCTGCAATTGCGAGTGTTCGCAAATGCGAACCTTGTGTCGCAAATTCGACAACTGCAGCTGGTACAAAGGGTTGGGAGACATGATTTTCAACATATTCTCTCCTTTTTGAACCCTACACTAGGTAGGAGGCAATTTTGAGAGGGGAGTTTCTTCTCCAAACTCTAAGTAAGTGATTCTAATCTATTTCTAATCATATTCCATCAATATATCTTAGATTTTAACATCAAAATCATGTGAATCAAAGTGAAAATTTGTGAAACTTTGTCATATTTTTGAAAAATAAGAAATTTAGTTTTGAGAGTCGATTTGGACTCGGATTTTGAAACTAATCACATATATGAACTCTGGGGGTCATGGGTAGTCGAAATCTACCATTGGACCCGGTTTTTGACTTTTTTAGAAAAAAGTATAAAAATCATAGCTTTATCTCTTTTAATTGATTTTCCTTGCATTATTTGATAATATCAAGTTGATTTTGGTTAGATTTGAGCAGGGTGTAGGCGAATTATAGGGGAAACGCTATTTTTGAGGGTTGAATTGGCCTAGTTGAAGTAAGTATCTTGCCTAACTTTTGTGGGGGAACTACCCCTGAGGATTTGGGATTGATTTTGTCTTTTGTGCTATGTGAAAGCCGTGTACGCAAGATGATGAGTGGGTACACGAGTTGTACGTGGTATTTTACCGGTTTAGGCTACTTAGACTCTTTTCATGCTTTAATTGAAATGTCATATCATGTTCTGAATTTTCATAGTTAATCTATTCTTGTGTTAGCCTATCCTTACATGCCTTAAATGACTTGTTTAACACTTGTTCTACATCCTACTTGATAAATTTCTCTCATGATTTAGTTGAACTTGTTACTCTTTTTATTATTTCATGTTATCTCTTTCATTGTTGATTATCAATATTTGAAGTCATTGTACGTGTTATCTCTTTCATTGTTGATTATCATTAATTGAAGTCATTGTTACAAGTTATCTCTTTTATTGCTATTATTATTATTCGAAGTCATTTTATCTCTTCCATTGTGAGCTATTTGCATTTAGTTCGTGGTTACGCATTATTTTTCTCAATGTTGAGTTGTTGGTGTTGAAGTGGTGAAAGCCGTATCACTTTGAGGCGAAGTTATCAATTTGTGAGATATCTTTCTTGTTGATAATTTTTACATTTGTTGTTATTGTTGATATTCTTGTACACGTTGTGGTGGAGCCACAGACTATTATTGTGAAAATATTGATATTGTTGATTGTTGGCAAGATGTAATATATGGGCACTTGTGGTGCGTGTTGTTATTGTGATGTGATATTGACGCGCATGCGGCGGTATAAGACTAGGGGTTAATGTGCATGCGATGGCATAATGTGGGACTTATGTATGTGTTGCTTGTAAGGAATTAGGTGAAGTCACGCGACGTCATAAGGTGGGCTCAAGCACGTGTGGATATTTCGGGAAAACTGTTTCAAAACCTATTTAAATGTAAGGCTCACGCAGCGGTATAAGGAAAGATTATGATTGAGACTGTGAATTGTGAATAGAGGCGATACCTTAGTTGTGTTTCTTATTGTACACGAGGCGGTACCTCATTGTGACTCTTGTTGTTTATCTCATGTTGCAAAGAGTTTTGGTGGGAACACTTCTTGTTATTTTGTTCTTCCTTGTTCTACCAGTTATTGTCCGTATATGATCATTGTGATTCTCTTTAATCAACATAGTCGGTCTAACCACCACTCTGTAAAACTTGCCTTTAAGTTTAGGTGACACATTCTTGTCACATAAAATACCGGATGCTAGCCTCCACTTCACCCACCTTGCTCCAATACGATGTGTAGCGTCCTCGTCAATCTCTCAATTTCCTTGAATAATAGACCTAAGGTACTTGAAACTATCTTTCTTATGGATAACTTGTGTATCAAGCCTCACATTTATGTTCGCTTTACTGGTCCCGTTCACTAAACCTGCCCTCTAAGTATTCTGCTTGGTCCTACTAAATTTGAACCCTCTAGGGCATGTCTCCGAAATGTAGGCAAATGTCTAACTTTTGAGTAAGGATTAATAGATTTTACGTTCAAGATCTTTGATGCTTTATTGTAGGGCTGTGCATAATATGGTAAATATCGAATTATCGTATCGAATTCAAAAATTTTAGTATATGGTATTCGGTATTTTGGTATTTGGTATGGTATTTGGTTTAAGTTTTTAAAATAATTTGGTATTAGGTATGATATTTGATATTTAAAAAAATAATACTGAAATATCGATACCGTACCGAAATATATACTAAATTATACATTACAGATATTATTGATTAACATACTAAGTTACACAATACTTTTCTTTAGTATTCATGTTGAGGTTGGTAGTAAAACCCATGTACTTATTTAGGAAAATAGAGGAACAAAGTAGGATGCATATTCTAATTCTTACTCTCTAGGTTGCCAAACAATTTAACATAATGTTTCAACGGTTTTAGGGCGTCTTACTCCGTTACTCTTGTATTGTTGTTGCATATATTGGATTAGTCCTTGTTGTATTCTGTAATTTCAATAATTAACTCTAAGCAAGTAACATGATATTTCTAATGATATAATATATTTCTTTATGTACTCTTTTTATCTTACTTGATACTCGATGGTTTTGGACAAAGATTTTGTCAACAATCAGGTAAACTTAGAACTTTTTATTGACTACTTTAATTAAGAATATTACAGTGTATGACTCTATGCACTAGTTAATATTCAAGATGAATAAACCGAAATTACCGAATCGAATAAAATCGAATCGAAAGGAGAAAAGCGAACCATACCAAATGTAATTAGGTACGATATTGATATAGCATTTGAACAAACCGAATATCGAAAATACCGTATCGACCGACGAACCCCCATACTTTATTGGATGTGGAGTCCAGCATTAAAAAAAAAGGTTGCCACCACACTACTTCCTTTATCTATAAAAACGACGAGCAGAATTATTAATAGAATGAATACATCTAAATTATGTACATTCGATAATTGATTCTTTTAAAATTTTAATACATTTACATGTTTAAAAATTACATAAAAGTATTATAAACAATAAGTAAAAGAAATGTTGTTTAAGATATTTAAAAAAATGTTTGCAAAAAACCGATACTTGACTTCTCAAATATAGCAATGACATCATTATTTCTGGACCAAAAGAGCAAAAAACTAATAAAATTCTGAACAATGTTCACGAGGCCACAAATCAATTGATTTATTAGTATTCAGTAATTTTTTTTTTCTGGATTCAGTAACCTTTATTTGTATCTTAATTAAATTGGGGTTTTCCCCTTCCTATATTAATTCTGTATAAGAATAACACTTTGGGAAAAGCTTATTCCTTTCCGGGCGGGAAAATTGTTCTTTTACCAAGATTCAAACTAACCCTCGCTTCCCATTGGTCCATTCAAAACGACACGGATCGCTTCTACTGAATCCTGCACCATAGATTAGATCACAATTCAACGGCCCTCATCACCAATCCTAAAACCGAATACCAGAAATTCCACTATAAATACAACAAACACGCAAAATACAATCATCCACATCTACCGCTCCGACAATCAACTGATAATATCAATTATAATACACAAATCACAACTTTGGTCTTTTTCATTTCCAGATGGATACTGCCGGAAAAGCGAAAAAAGGTGCCGGCGGTAGGAAGGTTGGCGGCCAATCGAAGAAGCCGGTTTCCCGGTCCGTCAAAGCCGGTCTTCAATTCCCGGTCGGTAGAATTGGTCGTTACCTGAAGAAGGGTCGTTATTTATTTGGCTGCTGTTCTTGAATATTTGGCCGCTGAAGTAAGTCTTATTATCTGAAAATTTGATTTGGGATCATTTAGTATTTGTTTGATTCGGGGTTTCAATATTTTCCCTATAATGCTTCTGTTTTTGCCTTATTTTTGGATCAAAATTAAAATGGAGTTTGGAGTAATTTGTATGTGATTTGAACACGCTTAACTCATTAAATGAGTTTATTGATTTTATTGTGATAAATTATTTTAGGTGTTGGAATTGGCTGGGAATGCAGCGCGTGACAACAAGAAGAACAGAATTATTCCAAGGCACGTTCTGTTGGCTGTGAGGAACGATGAAGAGCTAGGGAAGCTTCTTGCCGGTGTGACCATTGCTCATGGCGGTGTGCTTCCCAATATCAACCCGATTTTGTTGCCTAAGAAAACTGGTGCTGAAAAGGCACCGAAATCTCCAGCTAAGGCCACAAAATCTCCCAGGAAAGCTGCAGCCTAGAATTTGTTTTTAGTGACTGTTGAAACTGAATTTTATTTTGTATGTAATTCTGGTCCTAGATCTAGTTCTTTTGTTAGTTGAGGGAATTTGAGAAGAATATTGTTGTAATTCTGAACTTCGTGTCAGTTGTTCCTCATAATCAAATCAATGAAACCCCTTGTTTCTATCTATGGCGTCTTCAATCTATACATTGTTTTACGTCAAACATTGGTAGGTATACTTATTTTAAGATGTAGAATGTAATTAACTTTCTTTCTAAATTGAAGTTTATTTCCCCTTAGTGAAGAACTTATATATTTTAACAAAATTTAATGTTTCTGAGGGATCTAATGCCATATGATTAGGAATAAACAATTGGTTTCCTGTAACATATGAACAAAAGCTGGGAATGTTTGGTTCAGGTATTGATAATAAGGTGTTGAATTACCGCGCAAGGCACTTGAAAATAAGTGTTCAAGAAAAAGAGTGTTAATCTAAGTTTTATGGCGTTTGGTTCTGGTATTGGTTTATTCTTGAAAAAATCAAGTATTGGTCACTTTCCAATTTTTGCTAATAGTAAGGTATTGATGAACAAAAGCACTAAGAAAGTGCCTCAAACATTTGTAGGTTGTGTCTAGCAGAGAATTTACATCACTTATAAGAGATTGCCTACAAAAAAATAGCAAAACTATAGAGCTTTGTTTAAGGCTAAGTACATTATCCTTATTGCCTTAAAAAGTTCTTTGATTCCTTTCTAACCATACAGTTCATGGTGGACTGTTCAAAAATTCCAAATAGCAGTCTGCGTCAAGTTCCAAATGATCTTCTCTTTCTTGTTCAGAAATTTTCTGTGCCAACATCAGAAGTGGTTGGTGGAGTTATCCAGTGGATTCCCAAGACAGTGAAGAACAAATACTATGTGATTGCTGCAAAGAAAAGAGCCATAGTATCAAAGGAAAGATTGAAATCCATTGCAGTTTCTTCTGAAGTAAAAATACTTCAATCTTTCCTTTGATACTGTGACTCTTTTCTTTGCGGCAATGCCATAAATCCGGGTAATTGACCTTTGAGAGGGGATGCCCCTTCCATATATCTTCCCGAAATCTAATTCTTCTTGTTTCCAAGTTGACAATGCATGAACTGACGGAAAGAAACAATTCCACAGCGAATGAATGTGTTTCCATAGTCCAGAACCGTGTCGAGAAATTGTTAGCCCGAGTAGTCCATCCATATTGAATGTTAAATTTAGAAGAGATGACCTTCCTCCAAAGAGAGTTTACTTCAGAGTTGAATCTTCAATGTCATTTCTTGAGAAGGCTTTCATTCTGTGCATTCAAATTTCTTACTCCCGTACTAATCTTTTAGGGTGGTGAAAGAGCTCCAGTTCACCAGGTTAAAAAATTTGTAATTTTTATTGCCTTGCCATAAGAAATCTCTTCTAAAGCTTGTCTAATCTGTTTATGACTGAGAAAGGGGCAGAGATACACAAAAGAGATAGGAGTATTGACTTGTGGACACTTCAGAGCAGCAACAACAACAACAAATGACCCAATAAAATCACACTAGTGGGGTCTGGGGAGTGTAGTGTGTACGCAGACCTTACCCCTACCCCGATGAGTAGAGAGGCTGTTTCCGAAAGACCCTCGGCTCAAGAAGACGAAAAGAAAAGAAAAAAAGAGACAATATCAGTACCACCAACAGATACCATAAGAAAAATTAACATCATGAAAGCCAGAAAATAGGTGCAGAGCAAAAGCGGTAACCACTAAATAGAGTCGGCTCTATAAAACGAAAGAGTAGTAAGACATAACATTGACACTAGGTGTCTCAGACAAAAACCCTACCAAATTAGCCTCACAAATGTATGAACTAAGGAAAGACTCAGCTACCTCCTAACCTACAACCCTAATACTCGACCTCCACAGCTCCCTATCAAGGGCCATGTCCCCGGAAATCTGAAGCCTCGCCATGTCCTGCATGATTATCTCTCCCCAATACTTCTTAGGCCGCCCTCTACCTCTTCTCGAGCTTTCCAAGGCCAGCCGCTCACACCTCCTTACCGGAGCGTTTGGGCTTCTCCTCTGAACGTGCCTGAACCATCTCAGCCTCGCTTCCCGCGTCTTGTTATCAACTTCAGAGCAACAAATATCCTCTATATTGTTTAGGCTTATACCTTCTCAAGCATCAACTGTAAGTATAATGCACTTAAGCCTTCATAAAACACGAAAGGCATATATCGTAGTTCTTTCAATGGCAAATCGAAATTCGGAACTGAAACGGTTGCCTTAAATGCAGTCCAATTGGAAGATACGAGCATTTGGAGGATAACAACTCTATACTGGAGGATAAGAGCATTTAAATGCAACGCTTAAATGGCTACTGTGTCACCTCTGTAAAACCATTTGCTAGACAGACAGCTTATTTCTCGCCATTGTGCAGCAAATTGTTCGTCGGAGGTCTCTCTCTATCCTTTTTCCATTCATACAACGTGTCTGCAGAGCTTTTCTTATTTTTTATTTTCCTGGCACTTTTACTTTACGCTAGAGTTGTTTATTTATGCCTCAGCAGATAACACGTAGAAAACATAAAAAACTTCTAGTACTTTTTTTATTACCCTCTCCGTTTCAACAAAAAAATGAACCTATAACTATTTAAGGAGTCAAATAAAGTTTTCTTTGACCATCAATATTTTGAATTGTCAACTATTGTATCTTATAGTACTTTTCATGTAATTTTTAAATATGTAAATTTTATTTCAAAAAACTTAAAGATTCTATATCCGAATTCATGCCGAAAATAAGTCAATTTGACCCTCGTACTTCAAAAAAATTCAAAAAAATTGAAAGTGAGGGAGTATTATTTTTATTTTGTAAAATATTAGCATGAAATGGGTTTATATGGAGTAATATGCTCAGTGAGGATTCACGTAATAGAACCCAACTTGTTTAGGACTGATACTTAGTGTTATTGTTGTTCTTGGCATGAAGGTTAAGTTTTACTTGTTATTAAACAAACATTAAGAGTAGTTGATTGATATATAGAAAGGTTATACTAACCAGTTGGGATTAAGACGTTACACTCAAAAGTGAATCCAAAATTTAAATTTAATGAGTTTTATCCTTTAAGGTTCGTAGAGCAAATTCAATGTACTTTTGAAATTATAGGTTTATAATTTAATATTTTTGAAATTTTAATAATTTTTTACACATGTATATATTTATATTCCGTATTGAAAATATCGAGTTTAGTTGAAACCGTTGTATGAAGGCTGCATCTGCCTCTAGTTGCACTTACATTAGGTTTGGGTTTGGTACGAATCTTTTTGAAGCGGTTATTCTAGTATTAGAGCAATGGAGATCAAGATGCAGATCCAAATATGGAATGGAAAGACCTTCTATTTCTAGATCCACCTCCTTAATAATATCCTTCAACATTATTAACAAGGTGAAAGCTAAGTTTAGGAATATCAGAACTGGTGAAGGCCGAGCAGACATATGTAATCTCAGTAACATCTCTCTCAATGAGGTCTCTATTACCATGGTTAAATGGATCAAACCTCCAATCCTTTTTGTTAAACTCAACAGTGATGGCTTATGTATTAATGGTATATGTGGTGCTGGAGGTGATATTATGGGTGGCTCCTTCCAAAATGCTGCCTCGCCAGGTTAGAGGGCTACTAAATGCTGACAGATGGCTCCTTCCTATATTTTGAGTCAAGACGAGAAAGCCAAGCTGGCTAATTTATGAGCTTCCTTGAGGTAACAACTTTATTGCCACATTTTTTTGTTGTTTTGCTTAATGAGGGATGGTTAGTTGTTCTAGTCTCTATCCAGAATCCTCACTATCACATCTCCTATGGAAGACTTGGGTATATCCTCCTTCAAATGTACCAAGTGGCAATAAAATAGTGACTCGTTTAAGGAAAAATAATTCGAGAAAGAACGTTTACGAATCATCTAAACAAGCATCTTTCTAGAGCGAACTTGAGAGGGAATTAATGTGCAGTTGACAAGAAACAAAGTCATGTATAGGCAGTAAAAGGGCAGCCCGGTGCACTAAAATTTCGCTATGCATGAGGTCCGGAGAAAGGTCGAACTACAAGGTCTACTGTACACAGCCTTACCCTGCATTTCTGTAAGACACTGTTTTCGCGGCTTGAACCCGTGACCTCCTGGTCACATGGCAACAACTTTACCGGGTGTGTGTATCACATTTTATCTGTCATTGTATTCTTATAGCCCGTTGCTTATCTCTAGATTCTTCCCCAACAGACATAAAAGGGGAAAAAGTCAAATTTGTCCTTCTACTTTATCCACGTTTATCCCTAATTCTAGAATCCGTCCAAATTTGTCCTCACCGTTAAGAAAGTAAACAAATTAATCCCTAAACCTAACAGAATTCCGACGTGGCACCGAGTCCCTTCTCTTTGACTGCCCACCAGGCCTAAAAAAAACATAAAAAAGAAAGTTAAATAAAGTTTACCTCCAGAAAAAAAAAAGTTTTACATACATTAATGGAGTTTTACATACCAAAAAAAGTAAACAAAATCTATTAACATTTCAATGGCTCAAACCAATCTGATTCAATACATTCAAAGATTTGCCCAGAAATTTTTTGGGTGTCAAAGCTGTAATTTTTAGAGCCCCAACTGAAGAGGGAACAAAAGAGCAAAACTGTAATTTTAATGTAACACCTCGAAATTTTTTGAAGTACTTAAGTGTAAAGCCCCGTAAAATTTTGCAAAAGAAAGTAATGTTTCATCGTGCCGAATTGGTTTTACGTGTTGAGTATTATAAAAATTCTCCGTGGCGAGCTTGCGAGCCGCGGCTCGGACTTTTTGGGTTGAACAATGCACCGGAAAGTAAAGAAAATTTTTTGACGGAGAAATACATTTATGC